CTTTCTTTCTTTCTTTCTTTCCTTTCTTCGTTCGATTGTTCGTTGTTTATTTCTTTCCGAATCGCTTCTAAGAAACATAATTTAAATAATTCCTTAAATTTCTTGTTTTTTTTTTTTTTCGTGCATTCTTTCTTCCTTTTTTTTTATTATTCTTTCTTTCTTTAAACAAATACATTTATTTCTTTCGTTGTTTCTTTCTTTCATTTGTTCTTTCAATCATTCTTTGTTCCTTTCTTCCAGGATCGCTTCAAAATTTCGTAAGTAAATAATTCATTAAAATTTTCATTTTCCTTTCTTCCTTCAATGGTTTTTATTTCTTGCTTTCTTTCTTTTTCTCTTTCTCTCTTTTCTTTGTTTAAGAATCTCTTCAAAGTCTTTAGAGACTTTGAAGAGGTAATAATTCATTATTTTTTCTGTTTTTTTCTTTCTTTCTTTTTTCTTTCTTTCTTTCGTTCTTTTTCTTTCTTTCTTTCCTTTCTTCGTTCGATCGTTCCTTGTTTCTTTCTTTCAACGTTTCTGAAGTGAAATATTTCATTAAATTTTCTTTCTTTTTTCTTTCTTTCTTTTGTTCGTTCGATCGTTACTTTTTTCTTTCTTGCAGGATCGCTTCAAAATTTCTAACACTTGATTATTTTTTTATTTTTTCTTTCTTTTTTCTTTCTTTCTTTTGTTCTTTTTGCTTTCGTTTTTTCTTCATTTCTTTCTTTCCATTCTTTGTTCAATTGTTGCTTGTTTCTTTTTTACAGAATTGCTTCAAATTTTCTGAACTGAAATGATGCATTTTTCATCTTTCTTTCTTTCTTTCTTTCTTTCTTTCTTTCTTTCTTTCTTTCTTTCTTTCGTTCGTTCGTTCGTTCGTTCGTTCTTTCTTTCCTTTCTTTGTTCATTCGTTGCTTGTTTCTTTCTTACAGAATTGCTTTAAATTTTCTGAACTAAAATACTTGATTAATTTTTCCTCTTTCTTTCTTTCTTTCTTTCTTTCTTTCTTTCTTTCTTTCTTTCTTTCGTTCGTTCGTTCGTTCTTTCTTTCCTTTCTTCGTTCAATTGTTCCTTGTTTGTTTCAGAATCGCTTCAAATTTTCTGAAGTGAAATAATTGATAAAATTTTCCTTTCTTTCTTTCCGTGTATCTTTTCTTTTTCTTTCATTCTTTATTTCTCTCTTACAGTTTCACTTCAAAGTTTCTTAGTATATTAGTCTTCCAGTGTATACGGCGTGGTGTATGTTAGTCCTCCAGCTCACACGGCGTGGCATATGTTAGTCCTCCAGCTTACACGACGTGACGTATGTGAGCTTTAAATGTTTGAACTGATGGAACTAAGGAATGTAGATAACGTTTTCCATGGACATAGGGACAGAGTATGGAGAGGCTTGCGACGTTCCGTCTGTGGAAAATTGAATGTAGGGTAGAATATATTAATCCACAGGGCGGCGTAGACAATTTTCAACACCGTCAAGGCTGAATGGAGAGGACTGGGCAACTCTAGCCAATCTTTATGAGCCCCATCGAATTTTCTCGTAATTTCTAGCGTTCCATTCCCGTCCCTAAAAAAGTTTATAGTATCTTGTTACTCTTTTGAGGTGACATCTTTATATCGAGTCATGGCAGGTAGTGTAATGGTTAACGGCTAGGTAAGGGATATCGACGAAGCGGGTTCGAAGTTCTGTCGAGTACATTACATTCACTTTCATACAAATACCCTCGGGAAAAGTATGAACCCATTTATTCTCCCACTGTTTCCAACCAGGTTTAAATAATTAGCAAGCCGGACTAGACTCTCTAGCTGTGGTTGTCAGCCTGTCTAGGAGAAGGAAGCCTCTAAATACTAAACCGTATCTAGCCCTGGCATGATCCTTATAAGCCATTGCGGTCGACCTACTCACATACGAGCATTGGGATCGTCCTCTCCTCTCCCTATTCCTCGCCACCTCTGCTGGCGGTGGCGGAGATGGCTATGAAGTCCGAGCCTACTCCTGAAGAGTCGTGAGAAGGAGTCAGAGAGGAGTGTGGGCAGTGGACGCGGTTGGATGAGTCGAGCCTTCTTTATAAAATATCGCAGATCCTCTTCAAATCAATGGTTGGCCTCAAAAGTCTCGACCCCCCCTCTCTCGGATGGTCCTACGCCAGGAAGGGTTTCCTCCCAGGTCTTAATATTGGCTTCTCTCAGAGATATTTTCAGCTGTTCATTGAAGCATCGTTCTGGCCCTTCACGTAGCCTCTTGCCGCTGGCGAGCGAGATACATTCTGGACATATGGCCCGCCCAACGAAGGCGATGTTGAATTACTAGCGTTCCGTTCCCGTCCCTAAAAAAAGTTTATAATATCTTGTTACTCTTTTGAGATGACATCCAGTTGTCAAGGTATCTTTCGCATGTGACACTTCTCTTTCAGGAAGTAGGCGATCATGTTTCTCTGCTTCCCTCTCTCCCTTGTAGATCTCATTAAGTTTTGTACCTCTGCCAACTCCCGCAGATCACGTTCTGCCATCTGTAACCTCGATGCTGGGAGAATCGTCCAAGAGAGAACCTCGTTGTTGGTGATGCGGTCCTCAAAAATGACGCGAAGAATTCTTCGAAGTTTCGTTTGCTGGAACCGCTCCAGATGTTTGATGTTCCGACGATAAAATGTCCACGTCTCGCAAGCCTACAGAAGGATGGAGAAGACCATGGCCCGGAAGACCATGATTTTGGTTCTTATTGTTCGACCCTCATTGCTGAATCCCCGGAGCGAGAGCCTTCCGTGTGTAGTAAGGGCCGCTATGATGCTGTTGTCAAGGTATCTTTCGCATGTAACACAATTCAAAAGGATGCTGTCAAGGCAGATAAATTCGACGACGCCTTTTACCTGTCAATGCTGATGATGACGTCCGGTGACCATTGTCCGGGAACAAGCTGAATTAAGTTCTTCGTCTATTTGATGTTGACCTGTATACTGAGGCGTTTGTAGGCCGAGTTATACAGCATTGCTGAGCTCTGGAGATTAATGACACTCTGGTCCACGATCGTATTGTTTTCAGCATACATAAATACTCGCACGTGGGTAATGCTCTTCTTTATGCGAGCATGAAGTCGGACGAGGATGAAGAGTCCGCCGACGAATTTGTATCATATTTGAATACCCCAGCGATCATGTATAGATGGCTACAAAAGTAGGTATACACTACGTATTATAGCAGTATTCTTTTCTTTTTATGTGCGCTGCCCTTTCAAGAGGTAGGCAATCATATTTCTCTGCTTCCCTCTATCCCTTGTAGCCCTCAATAAGTTTTGTGCCTCTGCCAACTCCCCCAGACCACGTTCTGCCATCCACTTGCATAAGCCCGCCAGTCTTGCATTGCATTCCGTTGTCTCTCTTTCCCTCTATTCGACCTGCGAGTATCAGATTTTCCAAGCCCTCCTTTCTCATTACTTGTCCCAGAAATTCCATCTGCCTCTTCCTGATCTTAAGTATAAGCTTCCCCCTTGTTTGCATCCTCTCCAGAACCTCATCGTTGCTCACATGCTCAGTCCGTAATATCCTTAGTATTCTTCTGTAGAACTACATCTCCGCTGGCTCGAGTCTATTCTTCATCTTTGAGGGACCGTCCAACATTCGATGCCGTATAGGGGGACAGTACTCTACTAGTAGTAGTATTATAATAGTGATTCTAAGATTAATTTAATACTAGAATTTATTTGTTTTATTAAAATCATTAAAACCGTTTTTAATATTTTCATTTTCATAATTTTTAATATAATATATTTATTATAATTTTTGTTATTATATATTATTATATTATATTATATATTATTTATTATTATAATACGTTTATTATGACTTTAATTATTATGTATAATTATATATTATTTATTATTATAATACATTTATTATGACTTTAATTATTATATATTATTATATTATATATTATTTATTACTATAATACATTTATTATGACTTTAATTATTATATATTATTATATATTATTTATTATTATAATACATTTATTATGACTTTAATTGTTATATATTATTATATATTATTTATTATTATAATACATTTATTATGACTTTAATTATTATATATTATTATATATTATTTATTATTATAATACATTTATTATGACTTTAATTATTATATATTATTATATATTATTTATTATTATAATACATTTATTATGACTTTAATTGTTATATATTATTATATATTATTTATTATAATACATTTATTATGACTTTTAATTATTATATATTATTATATATTATTTATTATTATAATACATTTATTATGACTTTAATTATTATATATTATTATATATTATTTATTATTATAATACATTTATTATGACTTTTAATTGTTATATATTATTATATATTATTTATTATTATAATACATTTATTATGACTTTAATTATTATATATTATTATATATATTATTTATTATTATAATACATTTATTATGACTTTAATTATTATATATTATTATATATTATTTATTATTATAATACATTTATTATGACTTTAATTGTTATATATTATTATATATTATTTATTATTATAATACATTTATTATGACTTTAATTATTATATATTATTATATATTATTTATTATTATAATACATTTATTATGACTTTAATTATTATATATATTATTATATATTATTTATTATTATAATACATTTATTATGACTTTTAATTGTTATATATTATTATATATTATTTATTATTATAATACATTTATTATGACTTTAATTATTATATATTATTATATATTATTTATTATTATAATACATTTATTATGACTTTAATTATTATATATTATGTTATATATTATTTAATATTATAATACATTTATTATGACTTTTATCACTATATATTATTATATTATATATTATTTATTATTATAATAGATTTATTGTGACTTTTATTATTATATATTATTATATTATATTATATATTATTTATTATGATAATATTTTTTTTCTAATTTTTATTACTGTATACCTACTTTTGCATTATTAATTATAACTATACAGTCAATTTATTTATTTCCAGTAAGATGGAAAACCCCACAATTTACATTATAAAATCCCGAAAATGTTTCTAATAAAAGCTCATAGAAACTAAAATTCACATCTTACAAAAATAACAAAATGTTGTTGGGGTATTTGAAAGTGTACCAAATGCACTAAAATTAAAATTAAAAAATTAAAAATTCAAAGTTGAGTGGAAACTGCCCAGGTCTGGATGTCACTCTGATAGGAGAGTGAAGAAGTTACTGAAGATTTTAATGAATTTTACTTCGCTCAGTCTGCAGCGGTAGACACAATATATATATATATATATATATATATATATATATATATATATATATATATATATATATATAGTGACAGGGTCAACACTTAGGGCGACAGACTGTTTCATGCTAGACGCAATCGACAGGGCACGGCCTGACGATTGCGTCTAGCATGAAATAGCCTGTTGCCTCTCAGTGTTCACCTTTATATTAACACATGCACTATTTCTGACATTGAGCATTTTATCCATAAATATAGCACACCTTAAGACTATATTTCTTCATATATATATATATATATATATATATATATATATATAATACCTTTTATGTTTCTACATTCTTTTTTTACAGACATATATTTTTATAAACATAAAAAGGTCCTAAAATAATTGTCGGACTTTGTCCATTTCATAATGTGCGACGTCATTTGTTTACATTTGGATACGCATCGAGAAGATATGAATGTACGTGAGAAAATCATGTAAAATTGTAGTTTAAAACCAGTAAAATTGAGCTTGCTAACCGAAACGCTCCCCTGTGGCGTAATTGGTAAAAGCACGTCAGGCTATATGACGGTCCCGTATAGGATACAGATTCGATTCCTGTCGGTGGACGCATATTATCTATGCCAATTTCTCGGACATTCAGGCCGGTAAATGTTGTTTAATACTGTTTATTATAAACAGAGCATTTACTTAAATATTTGTATCTATAAAAAGAATGTATAAACATAAAAAGGTCTTAAAATAATTGTTGGACTTTGTCCATTTATATATATATATATATATATATATATATATATATATATATATATATATATATATATATATGCACACGCACACACACACACACATACACATACACATATATAATGTATAGTGACAGCAGATCATTTTTCAAACATGTATTGTTAAATATAATAGACAACGAATGTCTATAATGTTTTATCAGAGGCCATTCCAAGCTCTGTATATTGGCTTTTATTTCGGGAGAAAATACAAACAGAATCTGTCCAACGTCTGGATATTGTGTCGTTCATCGATTTATGTTTTCGGCTTAGATGAGCCTTCATCAGTGTGGTTATTTGGAGTTGTTCACCGTTAAAGCCAATATACGACGATTGGAACGGCTCTTGATAAAGCATAATAGACATTCGTTGTCTGTTTCATTGTTGTTCGATAAAAGTGACTCACCTGGTTTTTTTTTACTAAAAATATTTTTTGTCTATTGTTTTGGAGGTTAAAATAATTTTAATCTTACTAATATAAAGACCCCTTCCCGACCACCTAGGAAAAAAAGTTTATTCGCCCTAGGGTATTCTATTGATAATTATAAATTTGGATATAAATGAGATTCAGGAAAAAATGTCTGTGCCAAAAAAGTGACTCAGATATCGCATTCTAATGATTAAACTGGTAAATTTAAAGAGCTTTTGACAAAATATTGAAAACTGTTTTACAATACACTCAGAACAATATTCTAGAGAACAGCTTAAATTAAATCTAGATTATTTCAGAATATTCCAGAAAGCCTCATACAGTATAAAAACAGCTTGAAATAGCCACACAAGTCACTAACCAGATAAAAGGTTACAAATACGCATCATAACCACTTAAGGCATCTATTATTGCCCTCTCAAAAGCAGGTAAGTCTACGAGAGAAACTGCAGAAATTGCTATAACTTCGCAATCTACTGTCTCTCGAGTGCTTAAAGCGCATAATGATGCCACTCCTGTTCCAAGGAAGGAAACAAGGGGACGAAAGAAAAAAGATTGATGATAGAACTGGCAGGGTAATCAAGAGAGAATAGGACTATAACTAGCCAGTGTGTGTGTGTGTGTGTGTGTGTGTGTGTGTGTGTGTGTGTGTGTGTGTGTGTGTCTAAAGAAAGCAATGAATTTTATTTATTTATTTATTTATTTATTAATACGGCTGATTTTTATTACTAAACGATATTTTTAGTGGATATCCGTACTTGAGAAGATGATCCGTTTATTTTAAACATTATTTCGTCTACTGGCCTGAATATTGGAGAAATCTTATTACAGGATATGCGCTCACCAGCAGGATACGAACTCGAGTTCCCCTCGGGGGATCCGTCATTAGATCTGAGGTGATTTGACTTCTCGGCTACAGAGTGCGTCAATGACCAAGCAGATCTGAATAACGCCTTTAAACACAGATTTTCCCGTTGGAAAAAGCATATTCTCTCTCATAAGAATTAAACCAAGACTCAACTGACTATACAAACCAGAGTTACGTCCCTCAAAATAGATTCCTTCCGCATTCCATTGGCGAGAATTAAGTTCCACTCAAACAGCTTCTTCCCGCGAAGCACTACCCCGTGGAACAGACTACTTTACTTGTACTTGATGCGGCATTCACCCTGGGCGGATTGAGCCGGCTTCTTCCTGTTGACTCACCGCATCACGGACCATTGCTGCCCACGCTCGTTGGTCTGTCGCGCGGTCGCACGAGATGGTAAGCCAGTCGCGGTTCCAGCGGCGGAGGCCGACCACTTGCGGGCCGGAAAGTAGCGCCAGATCCCTCTTGATCGCTGAGGCCCACGTCTTCAGCTGTCCGCCCATCCGCCTCCGCCAGGTGGACGGCGGTGTGGGAAGGAGAACGTCCCGTATCAGCTCCCCTCTCGACCGGCGCGCAGCGTGTCCGAACCATCGCAGACGCCGTTGAAGGACTGCAGGCAGAGGGCGCAGACTGAGGCGGCGGCGGAGCTCGGTGGTAGGGACCCGGTCGACGCGTCGGCAGTGCAGGATGCGACGGAGGCAGTCGTTGTCGATCACCTCCAGTTTGCGCTGGTCAACCACCCTGAGCGGCCAGGTTTCACACCCATGTAGGAGGATAGAGCGAATGATCGCCTGGAAAATCCCCCCTTTCGTGGTGGCCGAGATCTCTCTCCGGTTCCACAGGCAGCGCTGGAGACGGGCGAAAAAAAAAACGCTACCATATTCTTGAAATCTTGGATTAACTATTATCTTCTCAGATATCCTCATAAACAGCGTATTTTGATTCTTACACTTCTCGCTCACACAACAACCTCCTTTAGTAACTGTCTACATTGTGTGGCTTTTGGGCCTTCTATAGAGTAAAAAAAAGAAAATATTTTCGAAAGATCTAACGCTGGGCTCAGAATATTCAGTGAGGACTGCACTGTCTTGATTCACAAAACACAATGAAATCGCATAGAGCCCTTAACATTTTTTTACAGATATATTCATCCGGTACAATGACTGGTGGCACTCGATGCATAAGGGCTACAGAATAAGGGGTATAGCTTATGTGGATATGTATGGAAGATATCAGTTAGCCCTAGACTAGAACAAGTTAAGATCGAGGGAGTAGCCAATTGGGAGTTGGTCCCATAAGGCAACGGTTCTTAGGAAGAAGCTGTTTGAGTAGGAATTACATCTTACTAGTGAAATATAAAAATAATGAGGGTGGTTCGCTAGAATGTGCCAAGAATGGTGGTTCTTAACCATGAAGGTTAGGACTGTAGGAACGAAGGAGTGTAGTTGATCTGAACACATTGGATGGAAATAGCGATAGAGAGGGGGCAGCTTGCGGCTTTTGGTCTGCGAGAAAGGGTGTTGCAGATTGTAAAACCTCTCGTCACCCACAAGGACGCGCAGATATTTCGAGAGTGTAAAAGGAAGACCGGGCAGCTCCCGTCTATAGAGTGCAGCAGTACTTCATTTTCTTGCTAAATGCTCGCTATATCCATCGAAGACTCAAAAGAGAAACGAAATCGTGTGATGGTGATAATAAAATAAAAAGGAAAGGCTGCTGGGGGGGGGCAGAGAGAAACGGGTTGACCGAGATACGAAGAAATTATGACGGTTGGACAGCTACATGAATCATGAACCGAAAAATGTAGTCGCAGGTGGAGTCCAAACGAACAGACGGATTCGAATGATGCTATCCAAATCTGCACCTCCTCTTACTCTCCTGGCGCAACACAGTCTTATGATGCCATTTATTCGAGGGTGGTCAGCGGCCGTATCTGCATATCTGAAGATATTCTTAGATCTGTAGATAGGAACAGAAGATAGACTGAGATGAACAGATAGACAGGCTTTTAAATTGATATGAATATTTCTAGAAATACAGATATGAAAAGATTTACATAGATATTAAAAGATTTAGACGGGTATATAAACCTGAATATATATATATATATATATATATATATATATATATATATATATATATATATATATATAGAGAGAGAGAGAGAGAGAGAGATAGTTAAAAAGAAAGACATAAACCAATGCAAGACATTATGCAAGTGCATGTTTTAATAATACAATTGTCATCAAATATGGCCATTTTTTTCCTACTACACGTCTATACATTATCAAAACACATGTTGCTATGTATTACTCAAATAAATATTAAAAAATTTAGAGAGATAGAGGGTGATAAATCTAGACTGTGAGATAGACGATAAAGGAACACAATAGATAGATAGATAGATAGATAGATAGGAACAGTTATATATTAGATAGATAGATAGATAGGAACAGTCATATATATGTAAACAGAGAAGCACGTTTTGCTAGAGATGAACAGATATGTAATTGCACCATAGATAGATCGCTATAATTAGAATAGATATTAACAGAATGAGACATAGATAGATAGATAGATAGATAGATAGATAGATAGATAGATAGATAAAGAACAAACTGAGGAATATCAGAAGTCATATTGATATGGAAAAGAGACAATTAAAAACTTGCCTGGCATGAAAAGGCAGATATGATCGTAAGATGAAAGCGGATATATAAGTAGATTGAAAACCTATCAATAAAAACATATTCTTATATCGATATATAGCTATATACATAATGGCACTTAGAACGACAGGACGTGGGCAATGCGCCTATGCCGAAAGAATATACCATTAAAAACAAATGGTTTGGGGCGCATCATTTGTAATAGAGCGACAAGATTGGGGAGAAACATGGCGGATGGGTGGGAAAAGCGCGAAATTTTATCGGAAAGCGAGAACCGGGTGAGTAGAGAAAGCACAAGAAAATGGCAGATATCTACCGTATTCAATTTAGTCCGTGGGTGAATGACAGTCTTTCCTTCTGATGGGATTTGGCGAATCGAGTTTGACTGACCCCCGGAGCTGGCAGTTCGATGACTTGGAAACTTGTTAGTGATTGACCTTCATTCGCGTGTTCGTTCATTCCGTGAGTTTATTTATTTATTTATTTTTTGTTCATTGTTTTATTTTCTCTTTTCGTTATTTATTTTTCTTTCTTTTATTAACATTTTTTTTTTCATTTGCTTGTATCGTTTCCTTCTTTTTAATCAAACTTTTCTTTCTTTTTAACTTTTTTTATTCTTTTTTCTTTCTTTTTTCTTTTGTTCTTCATGCCATAAAAGCGTAAATGCATTTATTTGTATTTCCTTCTTTATTCATTCATTCATTCATTCATTCATTATTTCTTTCTGTTTTCTACCTTCCTTCGTAAGATATTTTTTATTATTTTTTTTGCTTCCAGACATTTTTATTCTATTTTTCCTTTGTTTTCTGCAATCTCTCTCTATAAAAGGAAGGATGTATGTGTGTGTGTGTGTGTAACGAATGCAATTTTCGACGGATTTGCACCAAAATTTACATGCTCATGATCCAAGATAGCGGGAAGGCCAAGACCGACATTGCATTTCACAACTCCCGTCGATAGTGGAAAAATCGTTTTTTTCATGCTTCTACGGCAGTTTTCATGTAATGGCCAGAGTGAGAGTCTATAGCTGGCTGCCACGAATAGGCAGGAAGATTCTATTGACCAGCGTGAGAGCCAACAGCTGACTGACAGGAATGTTAACTAGAATGCTAGCATGCAAAAAAAAAATCGATAGCTGCATTCGTCACAAGTGGGAAAAATTTAAATCTGCATGGCACTTTACTCCAATTGGCTCATTCGCTTGCTTAAACTCAACGTTGATTCTGATTCCGCAGAACTGGGTTGGGTGTGAAAAGTATTTGTTGTTAACATTCTTTTTTTCATTCGGTTTTTCCAGTTACGAGTCTTTTTTTAAAGCTGATCGTTTTGTGTTCATTTTGTTTAGTTCTTTTTCATAACAGATTTAATGTTTAGTATAGAGCTTAGAAAAAATTCGCAGTGTGAGATAGGCAAGAAGTAAGGCATGTAGCAACATCAGCACGACAAAGGGCCCTCGTTTAAAGGCAAGGAAGGGCAAAAATATTTTAAGTTAAGTGATAGTGATTGCTGTCGTACGATTTTTGAATCAAGCACGGGCAACGCCGGGCCATGCTGCTAGTATTACATAACAGTTTAATTTTCTTTGTTTCTAACGAGATTTTACTGTTTCTTAATACTTTACTCAGCTTTTCGAAGGCATCTTTCGTTTTTCCAACACCCGTTCGGAATTCAGTGTCGCATTTTGCGTTCTCTTTTAAAAAAAAACTTCCCATATTTGAATTGTTTTATTTGTCTGATTTTTGTATCTCCAATTTGTAATTTGCACGTTGTTCTGTTCCTTTTTACTAATTACCATGTATTCTGTCTTGTTCCACTTGATGTTTAGTCCTTTCTTCTCGCTTTCACTATATCGTATTACCTTTATCGAATTTAATTGCATGATATTAACATTACGTCACAAAATTTTTCATAAATTAAATTTTAGTGTATAAAAATAATACATTTGATATTATCTTAAGTTTATTAATTTAAAATAAACTACAATTCTTTATACTTTTAAATTTTTTACTTTAGAAACAAGAACGCAATTACTCATAAAGTATTAATTTTTATCATCAGAATTTGGTTTTATCAATATTTGTTTCTATTTGTTTTTAGTAATAACATTATCATAGAATTTAGGAATAACAATATCATAGCGAATAATAATGTCATCATATTATAAAACGCAGATTGTGTGTGTGTGTGTGTGTGTGTACGTTTATATATTGGATCGGATTTCCTACATTTTTCAACCGATTAAAATAAAACTTCACAGGACAACGTAAAATTACCTTGCGGTGGTTCTGACAGCGCCCAAAATTGGAAAAAACACAATTGTTTTCGCACGAAATCAATTTGAAAACACGATAAACACGATTTTGTCGCCAGAATGAAAGGGTGACAACTCATCTCGAGTTATACTTATTATAAAACCCAGGTTGTTTGTTTGTTTGTTTGTTTGTGTGTGTGTGTGTGTGTGTGTGTGTGTGTGTGTGTGTGTGTGTGTGTGTGTGTGTTCGTTTTTTATATGGGATCGGATTTCCTACATTTTCAACCGATTTCAACAAGACTTCACTTTTTGGCAGGTAGTGTTTCTTATTGTCTTGCACACTTTTTTCTTTATTTTTACATTCAGAATGCTTTAAAAATTCAATTTACAAGACAATTGTTTATAATAAAATTCTATTCAATCGATAAACTCATAATGATTGAAAACAATGTTTTTCTTTGAGTTTGGGTTTGACCAATTCGTAAAAAAAAAAAAAAAAAAAAACCTAATTAAGACATGCGTGTCCGTCAACCTTAAACAATAATCTTTGTCAATTTTATTTTTCAGTCTTTATGATGGTCGATACTTGATCTATCTCTTACTGTTATATCCCCGGGCAATATCATAGCGAATAACCATATCATAATGAAGAATAATGTCGTAGAGAAGAACAACATTATTGATAATAACAATATAGGGAATAACAATATGATAGAGTAAAGCAATATCATAGCGAATAACAATATGAAATTAATTCATGTAACAATTTTTACATAAATATTTCTTTACTTAAAAGCAGAATTAATGAGAAAAGTCGCGAAAGAAAAGTCTCTGATAAAGATTAAACATAACAAAAGATTATTAAAATTAACTTTCTTAAAAGTCTTTGTAACATATTTAAGACAGACTAGGAAATCGTATTAATGAATTATTTCTTGAAATGAAGTTAATTAAAAATCATTTCGAAACAATAAAAGAAAATAACTTGTTTTCGCTTATATTTTTTATTCTAGAATCCATTGTTCTGAGGTGGTTTTATCTTCATTAAAAAATTGAAGAGGGATAATTAACTCTATTATGAACTCAGTATAAAGAAGCAGTTCCAAAATTTTGAAATTTTCAAAGACAATTGTAGAATGTATGTGATAAGTAAAGTTTTTGTCTGAGAAAATCTCAACATTATGTGCATTGAAACCTTTACCAGAAATTTTGGATTCTTCTTTGTCTTGATTGTCAGTATCCACAACAAAAATAGATATTTTGATTTATTTAAATTTTAATACAGGCGATAATCCCCAAGGTGGGATCAAAATCATATAACATGTATTTAAAAAAAAAGAGTTAACTTTTAACGTTGGTCCCCAAATTTCTAAAATTCAAACATTTTGAATTAGGCATTAGCTCTGGTCAGTAGTTGCTCCATGATTAAGCCTGCAGTATATATCGCCATGTACAAAATATACTATTTTACTGACATATCTTATTGATGATCTTTATTAAAAATAGATTTTCTCATAGGCCAGTTTTACACAAAAACAAACACTGGAAGTATATATATATATAAGTGAACATAGAAGTCAACACTTAGAGGCGACAGTCTGTTTCATGCTATATGCAATCGTCAGGCCACGTGTGCTGTTATTTTTCTCGGCTATTTATACATATACGGGTCAGGTGGTGCATTGTGGGTAGTCTATTATGGCGGTTGTTTTACCGGAAGTCGCTTATTTATTTGTTTGGGTTAAATTATTTTGCTTGTTTTTATTTAATTTTATTTTTGTTTCTTATTTTATTTATTTATTTACTTATTTTTTAATCAGTGTTTTTATTAACATAGTAAAAATATTTCCATACTTGAGGATGTCTGTAGGAACAGACGAAAGCTTGTATAAAATTAAAAAAGACCTTATGCAACTGAAATTTATGAACAGGCATCATATCATTCATATACAGGTTTGGGATTGGTGTATCTTATTTATATTGTTTGGGGAGATGTATTCTCGCCATTTAAATCATTAAGCTCCATATTTGTTTTTTGGATGAATGATTCATGAATTATATATATATATATATATATATATATATATATATATATATATATATATATTTGTGTGTGTGTATTTTAAGACATTTTTATATTTATACATTCTTTTTATAGATAAAAATATTTAAGTAAATGCTCTGTTTATAATAAATAGTATCAAACAACATTTACCGGCCTGAATGTCCGAGAAATTTTCACAGAAAATATTCGTCCTCCGATAGGATTAAAACCAGTATCCTATATGGAACCGTCATTTAGCTTGACGTGCTTTTACCGGTTTGGCCACAGAGGAGCATCCAGTTAGCAAGGTCTAATTTACTGTATTTAAACTTCAATCTTCTATGATTCTCTCACGTACATTCATATCTGCTCATGGCGAATCAAATGTAAATAAATGACGTCACACATTATGTAATGGACAAAGTCCGACAATTATTTTAAGACATTTTTATGTTTATACATTCTTTTTATAGATAAAAATATTTAAGTAAATGCTCTGTTTATAATAAACAGTATTAAACAACATTTACCGGCCTGAATGTCCGAGAAATTTTCACAGAAAATATTTGTCCTCCGACAGGATTAAAACCATTATCCTATATGGAACCGTCATATAGCTTGACGTGCCTTAACCGATTTGGCTACAGAGGAGCGTTCGGTTAGCGAGGTCGAATT